AAGCCAATAACATTTAGGATACCTGCACTAGGCAGGTAGATGTGGGTGATTTAAAAATACAGTTTAATCCATGAGTATGGATAAAATTTCTAAGATCAACATTTGGAATGATAAGTCTGAGGACGGAACCTAAGAGAAGAATATCTATAGTCAATGAAGGTGGAGCCAGAATGAGAAAGAGGCAGAATGACTGCAGAAAAACCACAGGATATCAATGATTAAATTACACTGTTACCTGAAAGAAGGTATAATGGGACATGTTTAATGATGTACTACAAAGTGGACAATTGGCAATCCTTTAAACAGAAAATTTGTGAGATTTCTATGGAAGAGGATGGAATCCATTGAAAGGAATTGAGGGGATAATGAGAGAAGAAAAATGGAAGGTAAGCAGGCACAACATTGTTTCAATAAATTTGTCTAGAAAGGGAAGGAAGAAGGATCTGGGCCTGAGGCGAAAGAGCACAGGTGGACCTGTTCACCTTAGAAAGGAGAAGGGATATTGTTTCTTTGGTTAATATAATCCATCTTTTTCTCTTCTTCTTGAGCACTAGGATCTCAAGCACTTGGCTCATACCCAGTTTCTGATATATTTCCTTCTCCTCACAATTTTTGGAGCTTTACTTAGACATTTTTGCAACCAGTAGCTCACCAGTCATATTGTCAAGTTCTCTCAGTACTTTAAGGTGTAATGTGGAGACCTAACGGATGGGATCTAATCAAAAGATTATACTCTCTTCCTTCCTTCTTTCACTTTTTTTTGCTTTCTCTTTCTTTCTTTCTCTTTTTTCTTTTCCTTTCTCTTGCTCTCTGTTGCTCATGCTTTTTCCCTTTCTTTTCTTTTCTTTTCTTTACTTTTCTTTTCTTTTCTTTCTTTCTTTCTTTCTTTCTTTCCTACCCATAGATTTATTTTAAATGTCTAGTGTAAAGGCTTTTCTTTTCAGTAGAAAAAATAAATTCAGATGTTGGATTCCTCAGTGTTCACATAGCTGGGATTCCCTGACACTTACGGAAACTCTGCTTCCTCTGAACACTCACGGGTTTTCTTGTAGCAGAGACCTTTACCTTCTGGAATAGAAATGGAAATACATGGCACTTATGCCCTATTCCTGCTGCTTGCATCCGCGGCAGAGATAACTAAGTACTCACTACAGCTTTCCTACACAGAGTGTGAGAGCCTCACACTTCTCCTGATCATCCTCCTCCAGGAAGGGCAGTATTTTTTTTTTTTTTTTGAGACGGAGTTTCGCTCTTGTTGCCCAGGCTGGAGTGCAATGGCGCGATCTCGGCTCACCGCAGCCTCCGCCTCCTGGGTTCAGGCAATTCTCCTGCCTCAGCCTCCTGAGTAGCTGGGAGTACAGGCACGCACCACCATGCCCAGCTAATTTTTTGTATTTTTGGTAGAGACGGGGTTTCACCATGTTGACCAGGATGGTCTCGATCTCTTGACCTTGTGATCCACCCGCCTCGGCCTCCCAAAGTGCTGGGATTACAGGCTTGAGCCACCGCGCCCGGCCAGGAAGGGCAGTATTAACCCCAAGCTGACACTTGAGTTGACAGCGATTTGACATCCCTCCTCTTTGTGACTTCTATCATCTTGATCTGCTTCTCCCAATCTTTATTCCTTACAGTTTTTCTTGTCATTTGTACTTCTCTGTCCATCTCCTTTCCCCAAATAATCCTTTTAGTATGAGAGATCATTGTTTTTCTCTTTAGGAAAGATAAGCTCATTTACAAAATTATTAAAGGTTTTAGCGTTCTTTTTCCCTCATCCATCAAATGATGAAACATCTTAGGCTAAAACTGGCCAAATCTTAACACAGTCAAATAAGTATTCCTAAATCCTTTTCACAAATTATTCTAGAATCTGCATAAATGCTTTAAACATCTTTTGAGAAAGAGCTCTTCTATGTTGCCTCAAGTCTACTAGGTACCGTTGAGCAACGATGCCAGACAGCAGAGAAAGAGGAAGAGTTGTCAAGACGTTAAGTCATAGTCATAAAAACTGAGATGGTGAAACAGTGCTCAAGGGAGAAGCTGACAACGCATGCATCTGTTTAGCTAGGTTCACATACTCAGATAAAATAATTACCACCATCCTATATTTTGAAAGCAGTAATGACTTATGCCCAAGGGTGTCATTTTCAAAAAGTGTTCACATACAAGTTTTCTTTAAAAAAACAAAACTAGATGTTTAGCATTGTATTTTATCCTTATTGTTGATTTTGAGGTGCAACAATGGATATCAATGAGTTCTAGAAAACCAAGGAAATAGAATGGTAAAGACTGGGGGGGCTAAAGAACTAATTGTGATGACCCTGACTGCTTTTAGGCCCTGGGTTCCTAGTGCAGTTGTCACATGCCGCCTACCAAAGTGTTTTCTTAGAAAAAGTTAGGAACGATACTGGTGGCAGCATATATCTTTGCCAGAGTTATGATCTTTCTCACTGTTACTTGAATCTACATAAAATAATGATGTATTCATCACACTCAAAACTCAATCTCAAACAAAATGACCAGTAATTGAAAAAACAAAGGTAATTGGCCATGAATGATGGAAGAAATTTCATAAGGATCTTAATGACTGAAAAAGGTTCAATAACTCTACAGCAGTGGAAATATTTTAAGCATCACAAGCCTTAATATGAGTCTATCGGCAAGGAAAATTTCAAAGAGTTCTTGATAGTATAGCATCATGCAGTGATTTGACTCTACTCTATAATTTCTAAAATGGACTGCATTTGATGAACTGACCAGCAATCCCTCCCCTTACGTACCAGCCACTTCAGGCTCATTGAATGGCATGGGCCTTGCTTTTCTGAACACAACTGTCCAGGTTATTGAACATGCTAGACTCTGTAGGCACACAAGGAAGCATCTTTCCCCATCCAACTACTGCCTTCAGTCCTATCATGTCAGATTCATCTATTTATCCATGAAACCAATATTTACTGTACACCCACTATGTGCCAAGTACCATTTAAGGCTCATTAGATTATGCAAGGAAACAAAACAGAAGATACACAACAATCTTATCTTCCTGGAGCTTAATTTTTTTTTGAATTTTTACTCCATTTTATTATTTTTTTGTTTTTTGTTTTTGTTTTTTGTGGAGCTTCAATTCTCATGGGGGAAACAAACATAATGATTCTTTTCTGTCCCTAAACTCACACATATTCCATGGGTTTTCTAGCATTTTTCATGTATTAACAGTGTCGATTTCAGCTATTACAAAGCCCATTCTGTCCACACTCCAATGTTCATTTCATTTCCAATTCAAAGCTCCTTTCTCTCTGCCAGCTCAAGCTAGCCTACACGGGGAAACTTGTGATAAGGAGAGGGGAAGAGCTCTCTGCCTTCTATCTCCTTGTTCTTCCTTTTCTTCTCCTCATTAACTTCTGCTTCTGAGTCTTTCCAACTGCAAGAGGCCCAGGCCAAGTTATTCTAAGAGCTCTGTGGACACTCAACTCCACATACCAAGGAAAAGAGCCTCCCAAGAGTTTTTGTAACCATGTGGACACCAATGTGGTGTGAGGTGTTAGTCTCCTCTTCAGCTCTTCATTTAAATCTGAACAAATGGTTCTCTTTTGAAGTTTACCTTGAAGTGGGAAAAGAAAACCTCATTTCGCTTGCCCAGTGGAAATAAGATGCTGCAGCACTACCCTTGATAGGCCTATATTTTTCTTTCACCAAGTGTTCTTTACTCTCCAGCTAGTCTCACAATATTTACCTGGTGGTGGGTGATGGGGTAAGGGTTAAAGCACCACTTATCCTATTTATTAGCAAAGCCCTTCTGGATGGTGCAGTTCAGTAGAAATACAATGAAAGCCACATACATGATTTTGAATTTTCTAGTAGCCACATTTAAAATGTCCAAAGAAACAGGTGAAATTAATTTTAATATGTTTAATTCTACTGGACTAATCTAAAATTTTATTATTTCAATATGCAACAAGTATTAATGAGATATTTTACATTTTTTCACACGACATTATTGAAATCCGGTGCGTATTTAACTTCCAGGACATCTCAGTTCCACTAGCCACATCTCAAGTGCTCAATGGCCTCTTGTGCCGAAGGCCTACCATACAGGACAGTGCAGAGATAAATTTTCCCTTGAAAGTGGGGTAACAGTTACTTTTTATTCTTACAACCTCTGCCAAAACTGTGAGACAATCGCAAAAGTCAATTTAACATTCTGAGCCTTCAGACACCTTTCCTGCCGATCATAGCATCCCCTCTGCCACTCCCACCTCCTTTCCATATCTCCTCCTCCTCATCTTCCTTCTGGTCGTTCTCTTTTTCTCTCTCCCCTTCCCTCCCTCTCTCTCTAATTTACTTACATTGATCCATCACGTTCACATAACAGGCATTGGGGTCCTAATTGAGGAGAGAATTTCCATAAAGTGGTTGGGAAATAAATGAATGGATTCTCAAATAGACCCTCTTGATCCCAGTTTCCTTCCTCCTTCCTTCCTCTTTTTATTCCCTTCCTTCCTAAAATATTCACTATGATAAATTATAATCTTGTGTAAAATGTTGCCAGCTTGCAGTTTGTATGTGGAAAGGCAAGCAAAGCAAAAAAGAATCTCGTAAAGGTGTCCTAACATTTTATTTCTCATCCTAAAATTTCATTATGGTGCCATTTTGTTTAGGGAAGGGGTTTGGAAATACAGGATTTTACTAGTGCATGTAACTAGAGATATACAGACTAAATATTAAATGTAAGATTTCTTTCTTTCTTTTTTTTTTTTTTTTTTTTTTTTACGGAATCTTGCTTTTTGCCCAAGCTAAAGTGCAATGACATAATCTTGGCTCACTGCAAACTCTGCCTCCAGTTCAAGCAATTCTCCTGCCTCAGCCTCCCAAGTAGCTGGGATTACAGGCGCCCACCACCACCCTCTGATAATTGTTTGTATTTTAGTAGAGATGGGGTTTCACTGTGTTGCCCAGGCTGGTCTCAAACTACTAAACTCAGGTAAGCCACCTGTCACAGCCTCCCAACATGCTGGGATTACAGGTGTGAGCCACTGCACCCGCCCTAAATGAAAGATTTCTTTTAGGCTAGTGGATTTTCCAAGTTCTTTCATTCTTTATTTGGTTGCAAAAAGCAGATAGGCTCAATGATAAATATCTAGAGAAAAAAAACACATAAACCTGGAATTGGGAAAAAAAATTCATCTAGTAGCATCCCCAGATAAAGAAAATGTTTTTTCATTGTTTATTTTCAAATAAGTTATGACCCCCTAATTTCAAAGGAAAGATTTAAATTACATTTCTCTGTACTGGTATGGTGCTTCAAAAAATGATAAAGTTACTTACTATGTTCAGGAAAAAGTTATTTACTGTAAGTTGAGAGTTAGAGACTGAAAAGTAAATATCCAAATTTCCTAAAGCTGATATTTGGTCGGATTTTAAATTATCTTTAAACCAGTTACTAATTAAATAGCTGATATACTGAAGAAAGTGATTTTAGAAATACCTTAGGTTATTTCTTCTCTCTGAATTACTGTCATAACTATGAGAAGGTAAGATACTATCTTTAAAATGAAATATGAAATTTACGTCTTATCCAGTTTTGAATAATAAAGATCTCATTGCTGTTTCCACAAGGTGAGTACCTGCAAAAAGTCAAACAGGGCAATTATATTCTGCCTATATACATTTCTCTTTGCCTATATACAATTTTAATTTGATTCAGGCTTAAAACAGTTTCTATTCAACAACTGTTTACACCTGGATGAGGTGAAGCATTTCAGCCGTTAGTGGAGTGAATTCCATAAATATTACTGCAAAATTCTTGGAAACCCTTCAATATTAAAACACCCTGCAAAGGGAGTACATTATTTAATCAAATAGGATACTAATGAGTCCTTATTAAACCTTCCAGATAAACATTGTATTGACATCTAGTGGCTACAGAGGCTGATACCAGACATATTATATTGAAAGCATATGGAGTAGCTTAATATGTTTTCCATTTAAAAATCCCTTGAATGAAAAATGAGCAAAGTATACATAACAATGAATAATGCTAAGGTATTGACAAGAAAATATAAATGTCTTTGTATTGATATGTTAAATGCCAGGGATGGATTTGTGATGGTCTGAAGAAAGAACAGTATCAGAGCTGCCCAAGAAATATATAAAATATACCCAGATATTTGGTGGTAGATTTACTAGAGCATGCAAATAACAATGTCAACCACTGTTTACAGAGTTCTACCTACATCTAATCCTGCAATGTGCTTAACAGATCTTATCTCATTTAGACTTCAAAAATATCCTTGAAATAAAATATGATTTATACCTTGCTGTTACCACTGAGGAGACAGACCATAAGAGGTGAAATTTAAGTGAGGGTTACACAACTAGTGAAACTGCAGTCAGGATCTGGAACCTGACCTGACCAAAACTGAAGTCCAAACTCAGGGAAGCCATGCTCCTTTCTATAAATAAAGTATCTCTGTGCATTAATGACTTTATTTAAAATTAACAAATTAAAAATAATTGTATTAATCCTTTCAACTCACTTTTTGACATTTTAAGCTCACTATGTGACAACTGAAATTTGCTCTTTGATCTTAGAGCAATTATTCCTGCTGCACGTTAATTTGAACTTGTTTCTACATCCAGGACTTGACATCCATCATCATGTGACACATATGTGTGTTCAATAGTTCAGAAATACAACTCACCCACAAAGAAGATAGGGTTCTCTCACTGGTATATATTTCTTTGACTTTAAAAAATATTTTTGTGTGTGTTTCTTTGCCTCTGAAAGAAGATTTATTTGAAAAGCTGTCATAGAAAAGTGCCATGGCAAGAAGTAAATTTACAAGAGGAAGTTGACAAAATTCAAGGTGGTGACCTGGCAAATGAGAACGTGGAACTTGAAAAAGGGCATGAGAACAAGAAAGGGAAGAGGAACAGATGGGTACAGGGAGCAGTTGGAGGTAGAATCTGATGGGAAGGGAAATGGCGAGCAGGAACACCAGGGGATAGAAGCAGGGATAATGATGGATTTTACAAAGCTCAGTTTCTGCGGGAAACAGGCCCTTGAGGTGGAAGACAAAGGGCGGCAGCCATTCTTTTTATAATTGTTCAAATAAGTACATAATTTGCATAACTTGATTGAAAGAAAATCAGAACAGTTATAGAAGTATATAACTATCAGTCTTCGGTCTTCCTTCCTGGCTCTTTGGCCCTTTGGATGATCCTGGTACAGAATCAGATGTGTGCATTAGAATAAAATGGGTTGTGGAAAGGAAGAAGAACATGGCTTAAAAAACACATGTGTTTCTAAGGCCTACAGCAATTCTAGGAACTCTAGAGAGGCTCTTGGTCATCCGTGTTGCAGAACCACCCTCTGCAGAAGGCCTTTGCTGCAGAAACATTTATTAAGCATGGCTGTCAGTCCACAGGCTGACTCCTATCCAGACCCATAATCTAGGGTCAGCTTGGGACAGAAGGAGTGTAGGAAAAGAGAATGAGGAGCTGAATTGCATAGGATGTGTTTAAGAATCACACTGACGAGGTGTTCACAATGAGTAAGGAAAATGACAAGAAGTCTGAAAGTAGAATTTTGTATAGGAAAGTGATGAGCTATTGGGAGGAGATAGATAGAAAATTAGAGTCTGAAACAGAAGTCCACTATAATGAGATAAAAAATCACTAAGGTCTTAACTTAGCTCTTGGATGAAGATTGAAGAAAGGAATAGAACCTGCCTGTGGTGTTTTTTTTTTTTTTTTTTTTTTTTTTTTTTTTTAGATAAAGGGAAAGAAATAGATAATGTTGAAAAGGAAACTTTTTCATGCTTAAACTCGTGGATAAGACACCAAAATAGCTAAAGAAAGGATATTGAATGAGAGCTGAAAACTCAGAGGGATAACAGTTGATCTGCAGTAATTTAGGGGATCAAATAGTATGAAAGGGAAAATAAGAAAGAAGTTGAGAGTGGATGAGAGGCTGTAAGCGACTAACAGAATCCCTGGGTATGTTGATGCGATGCTTCTCAGAAAAGACAGCAGCAGATCAAGGAGCTGTTCCCTGAAATCGACTGCAACATGGAGAAGCGTTTTTAGAAACCACGTACAGGAGAAGACATTGGTGTCTTTTCAGACCAAATTAGAGAAAACTGAGGCGGATAGCATTTACAGAAGTGGTTCTCAAATTTTGTTGCACATCAAAATCTCCTGGACTGCTGATAATCACCAAGAAATCAGAATGTGTCCAGTGGAAGCCAAGTCTTAGAATTTGTAAAGCATTCTCACATGATTCCAATTGCAGGGAAGCGTAAGAACCACTGATAGAGCATGCTTTAAAATTCTGGAGGGCAGTTGAAAAACAGGTGCTAGGTGGATTGGTCAAAAAAGGACAGAAGCCATCTCGCGATGTGGAAAGTGTGGTTTATTAATAACCCACATCCAACCTAACACTAGCCCCTCACTGGATTGTACTGCTTTCTTTATCTTTTCCTTCCACCAAGGCTCCCTCATAGTTTACTTTTGTGATTGTGATGCATTGGATTTTCCCTTACCATCTCAGTATATTAACATACTGAGCACACAGATTACAGAACTTTGTATGTCAATTGAAAAATGAAAAATGCTAGGTTGATGAAAAGTTGGCATAAATTAGTCACAACATATTCAAAAATACAGCTTGAATGCTGAGCTACACACAGGATATGCATAAAAATCTGATGCAGTGATTATTCGTGCACAGGGTATTGGATTTATGCTATCATCCTTTAAACATTAACAACTTATGAGATATCGGAAAGGCTTCCATTCAAATTTCTGAGGTGTCTTCAAACAATACATTTTGCTCTGCTTTAGTCTTACTTTTTAAAAACATGGTTTGTTTTTGTTGTTGTCACAGAAAATTTGTTTTCCATAAGAAATAAACTTTTATTTAAAAATTCTGAGAAATACTGGGGTACATCTTATTTTTCTTCTTTGATTAGGCTTCTGAATCATCTGCCTTTGTTTTGATGCCAAACAAGATTAAAGTTTCAAGTACAGTATGCCAAATTTATAATGTGAATTAAAAACAAAACTACTTACAAGAAACCAATATCAGCACCTAGGGACAAGGCTCAGCTATTAGCATAATTTACACCAGTGAAGATACTACCCTAATTATTTGTGGCCAATTATCAATTACTGGTCAATGCTAGAATCATTCACCATAATTATTTCCCTGTGGCATCTTCCCCAGATATAATGGAGAACTTCATCATATTTTCTTTTTCCTAGAAAAACAATAATTACTTGTTTCTATGAGATTTTCAATCTTTGAGAAAACCAAATCTAAATTTTCACTCCTGAGGATTTCCCTAAAATTTTAAATCTTCGAGTTTTAAATATCTAAAGCAAAGAACTAAATATATTCATTGTCTACAAGGTATTTGGAAAAAAACATCCAAAATTTTGCTATTCCTATCCATATTATTTTTAACTGATTTCAATTCTGAATTTTTTTGAATTTGATAAGATTAATTTATACTTCATAAGTTAACATTTTTAACATTAATTCATTTTCTTCCATATATTGTTCCTTTCTATTAAAATCAATCCCAAAGCCTGCAAACACCAGCCTTACATTTGAATTCCTAATGACTCCTCCTATTGTCTCATTTCTGTTTGAACCTGTCAATCAAGGGTGAAAAGTGCTAATCACTCCCAGAAACCCCAATCTTGCTCACAAAAGTACCAGTCACTGAAAAAATAATACCGATTGGTCATGGATGGGCAGGAAATCTCACTAGGGATCTAACTGCACAATGGAGTTTATTAAGCCCATTTTGCTCAAGTCCAGCTCTCTCTGCATGCAAGGGTCTGAGACTTTAATTTCAAAGTCAGCTAAAACCGGCTAAGGTAACTTATATTCATTAGCTAGGCTCTGACTGCAGCGCTGTAAAATCTCCTGGTTGGTGCTTTTGGCTTTCGATAATAGCAGTAGCATTTATTTTTACTCTTAATTTTTCTCCCCGTCTTTTTAAAGAGGAAGACGAGATTTAGTTGGATGCTAGCTGTTTTAAATTCTTAATTGGTCCAAGTTCTTTTTTAGCTGCTGATCATTTTCATACTTCACTCCTGTAAATGACTAAACATCCACAATAAAGATATTTCTCATTAATTCTCCCTATGCAGCAGTGCCCCTTCTCAAAGCCGTGGCTGCATTTATTACTGAATGGCAGTTATGATGTGTATATACAGCATGGACCATAAAGTATTGTAGCCTCAGGTCACAGAAGGGGATGAAGTTCAGCAGTCTTATTGTCCACATTACACAGAACACCAACTTTCTTCCAGTCATGCTTTTTTTTTTTTTTTAACTGTAGCTTATTTGCTTTCTTAGAGGTGGCAGCTGCAAAGGGCTGGTGTGAAGGAAGAAAGGAAGACGGCACTATCATTAAAGAATAAACAGTAATTACCTTGTAGAAATCTCTAGAGTGATTGATTACCTCTTCAGTTTATAAGAACAGGCCTGGGAATATACAATAATTGATTTCTATTACTTATGTGTATTTTCCTTTTAACTTTCTAAAGAAACAATGTGGTTTAATTGAGTTTAATTTCAGATTACGCATTTTTATGACTTCTGGAGTTGGCTAGGAATTAAAATGAACAGACTTGTAGCCCCATGAGCCATATTATCAATTGAAAACAAAAAGACATGGTGTGTGTATGTGTGTGAGTGTGTGTGTGTGTGTGTGTGTGTGTGTGTGTGTGATGTTATATGTCATTACATGTCTTGTACTTATCACTGGGTTGCTTTTGTCTTTTAATGTAGGTAGTTGCTAGGTTTAGACTGAGTTAGAGAAACTCCAGATTTAATCAAAATGTGAGGCTAAGAGGTGCTTATACAAGGTCTGGCATACGCATAATAGAGAGAACACTTCTTTGATGCAAACCTGACAGATATGTACAGGACAGTCAGTTGAGCAGGGTCAAGCTGGGCATCATGAGACCTCAAATTGTGCTGTCCCTGCTGAAATGCCACGGTCTAGTCAAAATCCTGTAAAACTGCAGGAAACGGAATTTATTTAACCTGTACCTTCAGCCTATACTTTGATATGATGAAAATCAGACATATTTGGAAATAACTGTATACCTTTTGTTGGCTGGGAAATTGAGGCATGAATTGCCACATAATTCATCTGGGATTAAAGGAATGAAATTGAACCCAGACCCTTGGACCTGACAATACTGACGGTCGGCTTAGGCCATGTAATATTTTGCCATTAGACAAAGCAGACATAATGGTCTTCTCTGAGGCATTCTATCTTCTGGCTTCTTGTAGATTACTTTAGCAATACTTCTCTGACACATTACACGTATACACATGTGATATACTATATCTTTCTCATTTATAAGATCTTTCATATTTTATAGTAAATATTGGTTAATTGGTCTTTCTTCACTTTTTTGAAATAATTGCTGTTTTAAAATTTTCATTTTTGTTGCTTAGCCCAGTATCTGGCATATTTCAGGTGACCAAAGTGTGTGTACCACAAGGTATAATGATGGATTTCTGTAGGATGGATGATTATCTTTCAGGCAGATGCTGAGATTTTCATTTCTCTTTGTTTGGACCAAAGCGATTAGTATACCGTTTATTCTTTGGTACTATAAACAAAGCAATGGTGCAAAATAACAAAAGATAGCAGAGCTAAACAATGAAACAACATTTCCCTAAGTTCAGTGACACAAAAGCACTATAAATACCGTTATAGAGACATAAAACTCACTAGGAGTTAGTGCACCAACATTTGCAGGATCTAAAAAATGTTTCATTTTTAATATTAGTTTATACTATGATTTCAATAATGAAAAATCTGGATTAGCAAGAACGATAGTCTTAACACTTGTAGCTTAAAAACAAAATTTTTCTGAATGGAGAACATTTTTTCCTCTCTAAACATGGAACACAATTAAATATTTAAAGTAGCAAACAGATCCAAAATACAAGTTAGCTTCTTTTACTTCATTTATATATTATCTTATGATAACAAAATTGTGTGCCATATATTCAAAATGGTAATTAATTTCTGATATCTAATTTATACAGTTCTCTAAAAATAATATACAAGCATTCTCAAAATCCAAATGTAAAAAGATCTCAACTCAGTAAATTGTCAAGGTGTTGACACTGCTGATTAGCTTTCTATTGAAAGAATTATTGCTTCTATGTTGCGTGAAATATTTGTAACTATAGGAAATCAAATAGTTATATTTGAGGCTGTCATCTTAATAGTGAATAATTTCACAAACAATACAGTAGATCCAAACGATGTAGCTGAAATATGTGACCACCGACAGCACAGTATCACTTGGACAATGCCACCAATAGCATGAGTGACACTTGATGGTGGAACAGTGGGCGACTGATTCTTAGTGGTCATGCACTTTGTCAAGTATTCCTTTTTCTTTTCCTTTTTTTTTTCTCTCCCTGGTGGCTATTTGTCATTCTCTGAAGACTACAGCCTTCTCTTCCCCTGGACCTTTTTGAACTCTGCTGTCTTTGAATATCATGGATATTGCAAAAGAAACTATTTACAAGGCAGTAATTATATGCCACCCCTCATGTAAAGGTAAATGATAATGAGGTATGTGCAAAGAATAGGCAGTCCTGTTAAAAGGATAAAGAGCGGCTTTTAAAACTTAGAGCCATACAAAATGCCTTATAGACTTGTTCTGGAGTAACTGTATCAATTAACCACGCTAAAAGCTCTAACTCAGATGGGCATGGCACACAGCATGTCTACTAGTGTTTTATTATCAAGTCCATTATGATGCGTTCTTGTCCTAGACAAAGGAAGAACAGAGAAAGAATTCAGGCTGACAAATTAGACTTGAAATCAGTTTCATTTACATAACGACTGGAAGTTCATTAATAACAGAGTTTTAATTATTCATGCTCTTGTTTCACTAGATACAGCAGTTTTCCCCCTGCTGTGTGGGATGTCTGGAGTAGCTAAAATGAACCTTAGCAAACTGATAGGCTGCCCAGATACTCAGATGCTTTTCTATTTTCATACTACTAGAGAGGGGCGGGAATTGGGGGGGATGGAGAGCCTGTACAAACTGGAGCTGTGTAATGAGGAGAGATAGGGAGAGAAAAAAGGAAGGCACTAAATAGAAAGGAAGTTGGCCAGCATGGTTTCTTTGGGGCTGTATTACACATTTGCAGAAAAGAAAGAGAAGGAAAAAAATGCAAGAGAAGGAAAAAAATGTACAACGGTAAATTTGTATTTGATGGGAGATTCCACTTCAGACGATAACACTTTAAATATCAATCATTTCAAGATTTCCTGCTGGGGCATACTCCTAATATGATGATGTGTATGTATGCAATTCATTTCCTTTGCATATAGGAGCACTAGTGGGGTTTGTTTTTGTTTGCCTGTGTTTTTTTTAAAAAAGGAAAAAATAGAGGAAGCAGGAAAGAAACTTTTTTCTTCTTATATTATCTGGACAAACCTGAGTAACAAGTTTAAAGTAGGCTTTAATACAATTTTCTTTTAATGAGAGTAGTGGTGATATTTTCATTCTTACTGGCAATACATAATGACACCAAGGACAGTTTTCTGCAAAGAATTTAAACTGTCTTTACACACATCAATCTCCTGACCCAGCCTTGAACACGACCTTGTGAAGTAAGTAGTTGAGAGCCAATTGCTCAGGGGGTTATTGCGAGTCTGGTTCATTTGCTGTCTATATGTTTTACTAATTTAGGTAACTATCTCACAAAAAGAGAATCCACGACAGATAAAACAAGACCAAATTGTTCCCAACGTCTTTAAAGTCCGCTGAGGAGGGAAAAAGGCCAGAGGGAAACCTCTTTTCATTCTGAAATCTGACAACAGTTGCAGGCTTGGGTTTTCAGAGATGTCTCTAGAACAGTTTTGGAACAAAAGTTCTCAATTTGGGGAACCACCATCTAAATCAAATACGAGAAGTATTTTGAAGAAAATCATTTTAGCAAGGAGAATTCATATTTACCAAGAGCTGACCGAGTACCAAACACTCAGTATATAAGAGTGTCTATACCCTTCTGTTTGGTTTAAATGTCGAAAGGATTATTATATCTATTTCACTGAGGAAGAATTTGAGCCTCAGAGAAACCAAAGCACATCTAGTAAAGGAAGAAGGAAACCAACCCACATCTGCTTGACACCAACTCTCCCCTGCTATATACAAATTTGAAGAACATGACTATTTATATTTTCCCACAAAGTTTATACAACTTGTTAGATACAAATATATATAGATACAAAAATGT